GAGGTGTGCTTCTATCTCTATTCATCCCATTCGGATTCTTCTTTCCATAGACGACGCGTATGTTTTTCACCATTATGTACATGTGTTCTCCGTTATGACGTCTCTCCAGAGGGGGTTCAATCTCTGGGGTGTTGTCATAAAATCTAAAGAACAATTTGCTACGGTACTTGTGACATGTCTTTAAGAAGCGTCGGTTCCTTAGGTAAACTATCTTCTTAGATGCATCCAGGTACACCCATGTAGTACCATCCAAGCAACCAAGCATCCCATCTTCCCTTTGATCTGTCCAGACAAAGCAAACAACGTGGGGTAATGATTGGTAGTAACAAATATTGTTGCTCTACATATGAAGTCCTCCTTTTAGAACGCATCGTATATCGGCTCCCCATGCCTCCATAGCCTCTCCATTTCTTGCATCAAAGGCTCGAGGAACACATCTATATAATTGCCTAGTTGTTTAGGGCCAGAAATAAGAATAGTGAGGAGAAGGTACTTTCTCTTCTGACACAACCACGTTGGGATGTTGTACATGGTCAAGATCTCTGGCCATGTGCCGTGGTCGCTCATCCTCTCATTGAAGGGATTCATTCCATCGGTGCTGAAGCCAAATCATACATTCCTTGGGTTGTCGCTGAATTCTTTATGCTTCTCATCGAACCTTTGCCACTAACTATAATCAGTCGGGTGTGCAATCTTATCATCATCCACCTTGCGCTCATCATCCCACCATGTCATGAGTGCGGCTTCTTTAGGGTTTAGGAAGATAAGTCTCAAGCGGTCATTCACTGGCAGGTACCACATTACCAAGGCAGGAATTCTTCTCTGCTTTGCATCGTTTCCTAATGGAGTGTCCTCTGGGGGCTAAGATTCTTGTACCACCTTTTTTGTACCCTTCTTATTCCTCTTTTTCCCCGTGGAGGCTTCATCCCCATCGTAAAGGTCATTGTTCTTGTACCGGCTAGCCCCACACTGGGGACATTTATCCAGATGACTTGAACGTTTCGCCACAAAAAAAAGTATACAGATGGTTGGGGCATGCATGGATTTTTTTACCCCATTGTCAATGGACTTATGACCTTCTTCGCTTGGTATGTGTTGGCGGGAACTGAGTTTGGTTGTGGCAAAGCACCCATGACAGAGATGCAATAGATCATTGAAACTACAGTCGACCAACTGTACTTAGCCTTTAGGATGAGTAGCTCAATCACAAAACATAGCAATGTCCAATGTGTGGGACAACCCTTTTCAACACCATACACAGTCTCCTTCGATGCTTTTGTCACCCTTTCCAAAATTTTTAGACCTTTTGGGCTATTTAGTAAAATCTCGGTCCAAGGGCTCAATCATGTCCTCCAAATCATCTTCATCCCCGACACGTGCTCCACCATCATTATTGGTACCACCTTCATCGTTACCGTTCCCAACCACCAAAGATCACCACCTTGTTCATTGCCAAACTCGGAATCCATTCGTGCATCAAGCTCTCGCTGAATATTGGGATAGGGATTCTAGGGTTTCATCGTCAGTATTCCTCCTCATCCTTGTCGTTAACAATAACCATTTCACCATGATGAATCCACACTGTAGTCCTCAACAAATCCTCGCATAATCAAATGTGATCTGATGATAGTCACATCTATCCATGCCATACGGTTCTTGCAATCTTTATAGGGACAAATAATTGTATCCTTATTCTCTGTCAATGTCGTTGCATACTTCTTTGCGGCTTCAATAAATTTATCCACCTCTTTACGAAACCTGCCTTGAACCTTAACGAACCATACATCCAAGAGTTCCTGTACTCCATCTTTAACAACAACAACAAAACAAACATTAAAGGACTACTTATTCAGATATATATTAAAATGAATCAAATTAGTAACTACTTGAGAATAATTGTATATACTTCAGATATATATGAATATATATCAAATATAATTACATGAAGCATACAAACACACCATGGTAGAGGAAAATTAATTAATGGCCCATTTATCCATAAATAATTAAAATACATATTTGTTGATTACAATAAACAATTTCAAAGACAACAATTAGCAACAATTATATTTTACCCAATATCTTTCATACAGGCCCTAGTCCAATTTCATCAAACATAAATTTACAAAAACAAAATTAATAAAAAAACCAAACCCTAGATCTAGATCTACATGCACATGAAACATCCATAAAATTAACTAATTGTTCACTAAAATCAAGAAACATGGACCAGATAAGGGTATGATCTTGTTCCCCTACCTAATTTACCCTAGTACATTCAAAACTTGGGTCTAATTTGCTTCATAAGTGGCTCAAGCACCATAGAAGAGAGAGAAAAACAAAACTCTAATTACTCACTAACCAACCATTAAAACTTCAAAAAAGTGTGGAATAGTATTTTCTTACCTTCTACAACCTCTCCACCAAAGGATTTGAGACCAAAACCTTTCCCCCTTAGTAGAGCAATTTTTGGGAGGTGCCCAAGGCCTCCCCACCTTTCTTTCACGGGTTGTAGTGAGTGACCCAAGGAGGAAGAAGGTGCTGCAGTTTTTTTATACGTGGGTCATTTGTAGGGGCAGCGGATGATTGAGCCGTCCCTATAAATAGCAGGTAATTATACGCAGGACATTTGTAGGGGCGGTTCAATCACCAGCCGTCCCTACAAATAGAAACATTGGGGGAGGCTGGTGAGTGAGCCACCCCTACAAATCAGACCCATTTGTAGGGGCGGCTCGTATCACCAGCTGCCCCTGCTGTTCCATTTGTAGGGGCGGCTGGTCTCTAGGCTCCCGAGCACGCCACTGTAGGGACGAGCCGCCCCTACAAAAAATTTGTCCCGTTGCTACAAACCGGTTTTCACGTAGTGGTTAGCAGTGATAAAAGTTAGTTTTGGACTGCACTAGTATACCTTAAGCGTAGGCAAATTTTCCTGACAACCATCGACACATTTCTAATCAAATCAGGAGCCCAGTGAAAATTAACATGTTTATTTATCAACCATTGTCCTATGTATGCAGTGCCACGGGTGAAATCTAGACTCTTTATGTTCATTGCAAGAGGGAACTTCCAGATAGGGAGTATGTAATGTTCAGACTAGATAGGGCTGATATAAAATTGGCGACCTAGACATCTCTTAATGACCAGCTTGCGTATGCTGTCCGGGACTTTTTATACTACAAGAAGCAATGTGGAAGAGATTGGTGTAGCTAGTCTTCAGGACATCTATTATAATAGACATGCAGAGATTATGCTACAATACAATGAGAGGGAGAAGGAAATCAGATTAGTACTCTCACAGGAGCCAGAGACAACACAACAAGTGAGCATAACACCCCTCAAGCAACCAAGGCAGCGGCCGGAAAAAGATGTGCATCCGTTTATGGATGATCCATTTGATGCATACAAGGACTGGCTAAAGAAGCTGCCAAAGGACAAATCCAAAAGTATACAATCTATGTTTCCGCATATGTATTCGTATTGTTTAGAATCTTAGCACCTTTATATAAACTACACCTTATTATCTAACATGTTTTTGGTGACTAACAGATTTGGGGGATGATTTTAGGGATGCAACAGTCCACACGTACAAGGAATATTTAAAGCTGAAAGGGGACATTCCAGAAATTAGTAATTAATTTCCTTTTTCAACCAATTTATTTTATTACTACTATTTTTTTTAGAACCGAAGCTTTTAACTTTGTGTGCAGTGGCATTTGTCGAGCAACGTGACACCGATGGCATTATAATTGAAGACGATGAAAGTAATGGAAGCAATGCGACACCACACTCAAATAGGCCAAGCCATGCAAGGAAGAAAAGGGAAGAGGGAAATGGTTTGTGATCATTCATATACTTTTAATATTGGGTTCACATATCTTAATTGAGAACTAGAACAACTCAAGTTCCTTATTGTCTTTTTTGCAAGGAGATGGCTCCAATCAACGCAAGAAAAGAGGTCGTGGCACTGTTAAAGGATTATCAGTAAGCACCAAGAGAGTTAAGGAACGCACTCAAAAACTCCTAATGGAATTTGGATGTCATGGAGGTCCGATTGGACCGAACACCCGTGCATTTGTCGATGAGGTCGTACTGTTTACAAGGAAATGGGCCCCATTAATTGGAGTAAACAGTTGGAAGGATATAAAGGAAGATGTTAAAGAGCAAATTACAGAACAGATACGTGTATGTTGAGTACTATTTGTTTCCTACTCATGTGATGCGTAAAATTAATTGTGATAAACGTATAATTGTTTTTTAATTGTAAACAGCTTACGTGGAACTTCATCAATATTGCCACTGAGGATGAAAAAAAGAGATAATATGGAACATTGCCAAGGAGCGATACAAAGGATGGCGATCAGCTCTGAGTGCCACATACAAGGCTTATAACAATTATTGTGAGAGAATACGAAATATTCCTGAAGAAGCACACTTTCTTGAGTGGCACTCTACTTGCTGTTGTATTTTGGATCTGAGAAATTCATGGTCAGTTCTAGTAAGATCTACTTTGTCAAACAAACTTTATCAACCAAAGTTGCATTATTACATACCACTTGTTGTCATTCTGCAGAAGGGTAGCAGCCAAAACTCCTCCAACCGTCAGCAGCAAAAAACCAAGCATCTGATGGGTTCAAAAAACTTCTCATAGTGTAGCTTTGAGCTGGTAATCATTAGATACACTAATCTTGTCCTTCCATTGTATGATGCAATACTTGTGTGTTGAATCATATTTTGGCATCCTAGAGAGACAAAGAAACTGGTGAAGAGCCAAGTGATCATTTACTTTGGAAGGCCACTCACACAAAACAGGGCAAATGGTCAAATTCTGTGTCATTTGCAGTATATGTGAGTAAATCTTTCGTCAAGCCTTTTTATAGCTGCTGGTTGTGTCAAGCAACTCTAACGGATTCTGTTATTTCATTTAGGAAAACGTAGCCTTGAAAATGGGTGAGATTGAGTTAGAACCTGATAGACAAACACTTTGAGCTGCTGAGGAGAACATGATTTTCCAGTCATGCTACAAAGAAACCACACAGATCAAATCATCCAGAGTACATGGGCATGGATACTTGGCTAAGTATCGAACTCCCAGAGAACTTATGAAAGAGAACCTTGAAGTACATGCACGTGCTGAAGCTGCAGCCAAGGAGAAGAGAATTGCTTATGAAGTAGAGGTTGAGAAGCTGAAAGAACAGCTTGCGCACGAAGCTGCAGAAAGGGAAAGGGAGAAGGAAGAAAGTAGGAGAAAGATGCAAGAGGATCTGGAAAATGCTAAGATAGCACTAAAAGAAGAAATGAAGCAAGAATTTCTTAATATGCTAACGCGGCACAAAGAAGGAACTATGAATCAGGTAATATTTCAGAATAATTTTTTATCCTTCATCCTTTTAATAAATTTATTTATGATTATGATGCCTAATGTTTTACCTCAATATTTGTATGTGTAGAGTACCCCGCAAAACAATGACAACATACAAATTGCACCAACCACACAAGAGGACGATGAGACTGGTGAACATGCAAATGATGACAATGAAGATGCGTTACAGCAGGTAATGACATTTTTGCACTATGTTCCAAGTAATCTTGAGCTATGTATCTTAAACTCTAGCAAAAACAGATTGAACAATTTAATGTTTGTAGACTCAGCCAGGAAGCGTTGTCACCGTACAAAAAGATGCAGCACCACCTACTACTCGCTCCAGTAAAAATACTACTATTGTCACCAGAAATCTTTTCAAAGAAAATGCTGCAAATGTGGCAGCATCGAAGACATATATCACTCAACAGCAGCCGATGAATAGAACAAGAAATCCTAAAAAGAAGAAGGTAACAGCTACAATATGTTATCAGCTAATTGTGAACTAAATTGTGCTCATTTTATTATGACTTTTTTTCTGGACAGACCTGCACTAACACTACCATGCCATGAAAAATAGATATGATTTGGGTGTAATTCTTATTTTGCTGTGTTCTTAAATACAGAGTGCACCAATCCGCAATTTATTGAGACATTGGTCTACATTTATGTTTGCTGTCCCTGCATGCTTATTAGACACATCTAATGCAAGAATGGTTGCACCTACACCAAATATGTAAATAATTAGTTACGGATTTAATTCTATTTCACCATTCCCAGTTAGTAACTCTGTTAGATGTCATGCACTCTTGCATCAGTTGCTGAAAGTTTATCAAATGTGACCTTCCTTGTAGAACTAGGAAATGTAGGAAATACATTTATCATGCGTGCTAAAAACTGCAGCTTGTGCAGTTCTGATTGGGTGAATTATTCCGTGTAGTTAAATTCCCTTTTCTGTGATACTTAATAATACCAAAGTTGTAGGGGTTTTAGAGATGTTTGTCATCGTGAAAGTTCATGATTTTAGCCGAGGAGAATTGGGAGTTCTGAATTTTAGATGTATCCTGTCAGGTTTTGACCTTGCTCTGCACAGCAGTGAGACTTTTTGATTTTCGACCTTGATAACTGCAGAATCTGATTTTACAAATAACTAGAAAGACCCCTGGGAGCAGCTCAGTGGAACTTAGTGGTGTAATTCATGAGTTCATTTCTGGAGACAAAAGCCACTCGAGGAAGGGGGATATATAAGATGCTGGGAACTAAAAATTAAGAAATGATTGGAGACAAAAATTAAGATACTTTGATAGCAAATTGATTTTTTCTTAATTTTTTCTAGTTTTGATTAATTCTTCTTTTGCTTAATTACAACCATGTTCTATCTGAATCTCTTTACATTTTGTGCATGATGTAGTAAACCTTAATATTTTTCTAATATCCCAATCTTATTCTTTTGGTCAGTAGGTGGACAAGGTTTGAGTGGGAGGCTCATAATCAAATGAGGACATAGCTGAGGTGATGACATGTTGCTGCTAGGAAAACCTCGAGGTGCTGCATAGATGGAAGTCTTGTACTGCTGCAAGTTTTAAAAAGTTGTGAAATAATGAGTGAACTGTACACTCGTCTATGATTTTAGCTACTATTTCTTTGCTTTGTCAACTTATTGAATGATTGGTTATAATTAATATATGTGAGTGCAATTGCTTTTGTTATGGTTTATTCTTTTTTCAAATGATGATTTCTTAAACCACGATTCCAGTGCTACCAGTGTTGTAATACAAACTATGCCATCGAGCTGCTATGTGTGGCAATATGATATATGGCAACGAACTCACTTGCGTGGCAATACAATCTATGACACACTACTACACAAACTTTACTGGAGGCGGGCGTTTTCGGTTTACCGCGGCGGGCGGTGTAACGTGCCCTCTGCGGTAAATATACTTTTACCACGGCGGGCACGTTACACAGCCCGCTGCGGTAAATTATTTTACCACGGCGGACACCTTTTGTGGCCCGCCATGTTATGTTCATTAGCCGTGGCGGGCTTTATTATTTGCCCGCCTCGGTAAATTATTTCTGAATTAAAAAAAATATACGCAGTATATAAATTCAAATTCAAATCACATCAAGATTTCACAGATTAAACTTAAAAAGTATGCGGGCATTACACATGATATAATATACATATATATACATTCACTTAGTCATTCTTGTCATCGTTAATTCATTACATTTACATATTAAAGTCGTTATACATGCGCTTAAGGTGTAATCTCATGGACGCATCATCGTGGGCCATTTCCTCACCTCTCGTACTCGGTAAAATCGCTAGCGGCTGTTCTCATTGAAGAACGTGCCCCCTTCAAGCACACATTTGTCTAAGACAAACTTACATATGTTCGCCTTTGTCTGCTTGAAGCTGTGTTGGGTGCTCTGCATGTCTCTCGACCAGTTCAATCCATTCTTGAGCACCCTCCAATCTGCTTTCTTTGTCTTGCTTGCACACCTCGAGAACTCACAGCGTAGAAGCCACAGGTTTGTGATCCTACCGGTTGTTTGGCACACTGCATGATCGATACACAAGCATTACAACACAGGCATTAGAACGCATATGAACGGAAAGCACAATTAAACCTTCCAAATACTTACCGGAAAGTTGCGTCTGATTTTGATGCAGTTCTTATGCTTAGCCTTAAAATTCTCTGTTCTTCGATCATAGCATTCAGGATCCTTCATGTACTCCTTATAAGTGCTATACGAAATGTACTAGTATTAGGCAGGGCATTAGAACGCATATGAGAAGACAGTTCAGTCACTTACACTCTGAGGCAATCTTCAAAGGCCTTGTACCCTTTTAAGTTTGGCACTGTCAACGAATCAAAAACGCAGGCCCTGCCATCCTGAGGGTAGATGATAAATGCAACCTAGTGACCCTCGAGACCTTGGCTGCGCCATTGAAACAAAATACAGGTTACGACGATCAATAATAATACTAGCTAGCTACCCACTTATCTCTACAGGCATGTCTTCGACTTACCCAAAGTGGTAGGCAGCTAGGATACACCCATTTCCCCTAATCTTCTTCATTGCTCCTAGTATGTACCTTGGAATGTTCAACTTCTCATTGTCCATCAGTTTCTTCCTGTGCGCCTCTCTCTATCGCTTGGTCAAGTCTTTCATGGTTGGATGATTGTCATCTAGGTGGTAACCAATGATGATTCTTTGAGCAATATGCATTGGAGATAGATAGATAACATCAAGTTTTAGTTCCTTGGATATATAGGCCATCAACCTGCAACGTTCCTCTAGGGCACGGTGGAGAATGGCATGGGTGCAGAGCTCGATATTTATGAGGCATATTGGCTTAAGGCGCACGCCATCAAGCGGGGCATGGACGGGGTAGACACGGACGCAATCGAAGAGTATGCGTCGCGTGCCGCTGGAGGTAGGGGGCGAAGCTGACAGGCGGGCCCGGGTGGTCGGCGACAGACACTACGTCAAATATGATTTTCAGGGGCGGCTAATGAGCATTTGTAGGGGTTGTTCAGCCAGCCGCCCCTACCATACCGTCTCTACAAATCATGCATTTGTAGGGGCAGTTCCCAGACCGCCCCTACAAATCTATTTGTAGGGCGGTTGATGATAAAGGCGGTTAAACACCAGCCGCCCTAAAAATCGATTTGTATGGGCGGCTACTGGTACCAACCGCCCCTACAAATCGATTTGTAGGCGACTTCTGATACCAACCGCCCCTTACAAAGGCATTTTTCCGCAAAAAAAAATCAAATTACCAACACGTGCTCCCCAAATCATCCCATGCGTTGCAACGGAAGAAAAATAAATCAATTTTGCTAAGAAATAAGGTGATGAGGATCATCAGTTGTAGTAGTCTTCAACCGGAATGTCAAACACAATTGATAAGGGGCTAAGTGCAACTCCATGTCTCCATCAACCTTAATCAGAGTTCAAATGATACAACTGCCAATGTTCCAAATAAGGAAACAACTTAGGATCTAATAACCACCATCAAACTCCGGTGATACAAGCTAATAATTGGAATCCCCGGACTTATTATACTACTCAATTCATCATTCGGGAAACATCGATTGCCTTCTCTGGGTGAGGTTCTTGAACAGGCTCTCGGTGGTGATCTGATAGAAACACAAAAGTACCAAATAAAATCAATAATATTTCATTTAGTTAGTGGTTGAGCAACAAGTCGAGCATCATCAACAAAGAAGTGAGAGAGGAAAGACTAACAAGAGACCCCTTGTATCTTATAATCAAAAGGAACATGGGGCATCTATAAAGAGATTGTATTGATGAAGCCAAATAATCACCCTAATATGATGATCTTTCTATTGTCGCCGCAAAGCTCAAGCTAACCAGAAGTAGCAATTACAATCGGGACCAATACTCTACCTTAGAACCATAAGAGAACAGACACGGAAGTAGCAGCCTACGATTCGGGCCAATATTACTCTACCTTAGAACCATAAGAAAATAGACGGAGCTAACATCGCTCTTCTGGAAATGCTAGGCATTGGTAAGGGAACACATGAATAGAAAAAAACCAGAGGGTTCAAACCATTTGGACCCGAAGAAATGAATCCATTCTTAGACCACACCAAACTTGGCTGTACTTTCCTTTGTGAACCTTTAGAAAGCACTTCAGAAGGTAAAAAATCATTACAAAAGCCAATAGCAAAGAGGTAACAATCAGAAGCAAAAGCCCAAAAGCTGCAGCTCAAACAAATATAGAAATAGAGGACAAACTTTCTATTAAAAACTCTGCCTAGTCCCACCAGTGGCTACCCCACAAACAAGTGAATCAAACATTCCAGGAAGCCAAAGCAGCAGTTGGTTACCATAGCTATGCTACAACATATGTCAAAATGGTTGGTACCAAACATACAAGAACAAAATAATTCCAAAGGTAATCACAAATATGGTATGAGAGAACAAGATGACAGCAAGCACTATATGGGCAGACCAGCAGATTCCCCACTAGTCATCGGGCTTCTTCCATTGAAAAGAAGCTCTTGTTGAACCCAATTTGGCGAATCGATACTTTATTGCACCAATAACCGTCACGACCAACCAAGTTGAACTCCTAGGGATAACCTTGCTAATATTAACCGATCGAGGTGATGCATGCCCCTAAGTATAACTTTGGTAATATTGATAACCTTCTTAATACTAACCAACTGAGGTGATGCCCCTAAGTATCAAAATGAACAATTTTTAACAGGCATTCACTTTAAATGCCACAGCCTTGCGAGAGTAAAGAGACTACGACCAAATGCAAAAGTAGCATCTGCAGCCAATAGGCAGATTATAGCATGGGCAAAAATACTATGACATTCCTCAAACAACTTCATATTTAAAACATCATTTCGATTCCTCAAAAATATAACTATACTATCCATCACTGGGCAAACATGAACCAATAGGGGACTGCATTAAAGTCTTGACTGCTGAGTAGCAAGTTAAAATGTATTTACAATAATAAGAAAAGCTACATAAGTGCACCATACTTCCAACTGATAAGTGTCAAACAAAGCATCTTCAGACTTATGACAAACACAAAACAGTCATAATTATGACTTAGGAAGCATTGCCATAGTCATTTATTCTTCTTGAACCTAGGGCAAAAGTTGGCATTGTAATAACAGGTGGCTAATCAAATTAAGCTCAAGAACTATTAATCTCCTAAGATATTTTCACAAGGAGACATTCA